TACTGGACCGGGACCAGCAACGGGATCACAACCCTCGGTGCTGCTCCCGCGCCTCGCTCAGCCAGTGAGCGGGAACCGGTCTGTATGTGGGATCCGAACCCTCGGCGGGAGCGCCACCGCGCCTCCCAAGTGGCGCACTATAGCAGTGCGCCACCGGGCCGGCCCTGAAGAAATGTTTTAATGTACATTGTGATGACTCAAGATTTCTTTGGAACACTACTATTTTGCGTTATTTGTTTAGATGTTTCTTTCTCTATTTTATGAAATTCCCTCAAGGTAGAGACTATGTTCTAATCATTTTTTCATCCCTAACTTCTAGTACATTGTTTTTGGAACATATTGTGAATTTTGAGTATGTTAACTGAAAGGTCATAGTAAATGAATGAGACTTCATTCTCTCTTATTATAAACCATATTGATCATTCTGGCTTATTATTGTGTGCCACTTGACCTTTAATTATATACTACCTTGTACAGGGTAGGGTGGTCCCATTTTATGGTAGGAATATTGTCTTAGTCCCATTTGTGTTGCTATAACAGAATTCCTGAGACTAGGTAATTTATAAAGAAAAGAGGTTTATTTAGCTCACAGTTCTGGAGGCTGGCAAGTCTAAGATCTGTTTGGCTTCTAGTGTGGGCCGTGTGCTGTGTCATGACATGGTAGAGAAGCAGAAGGGGAAGCAGAAGTGTGTAAAAGATAAAACAGGAGAGGCAACCTCACTTTGTAACAACCCACTCTGGTGAGAACTAATTCATTTTCAAAGAAACTACCCTGGTCTTGAGAGAAAGACATTAATTCCTTCATGAGGGCAGAGCCCACATGACCCAAACACCTCCCACTAGACCCCACCTCCCAGCACTGCTGCACTGAGGAATTAAGGTTCCAACACATTAACTTTTGGGGCATACACTCAAAAACCATAGCAAATAGGTTCTGGAGGACACATATAACTCAGAGCTTAACAATTCAAGACTGGTTTTCCAAAAGTAATGAATGTAAAGTGTGTGTGTTGAGGAAGGAGAGGTAGATGGGGACAGTGGGTGACTAGATGAATGTTCTCAATTGATAAATC